GAACAGAAATGATGAAAGTAACGGAAGAAATATAGTTGTATGATAGAATTAATAATCGTAAACTGTTGCAGTTATTAACTTCGACAGTTTCATTTGCGACTTTTCTCATTTCTCTGTCACTTTGATTATTGTATGATGACAATAGCAATAACAAAAATAACAACGAAGAAGATTTGGTGACAATCACAAGCATTAACATCAGAAGCATTTGATATAATCTTTCATCATATTATCATTGATATGATTTTTTGTATTCATGAACGGATACCTATGACGTAATGAAAAATATTGTAGTGAAAGTTAGCGACCTTTTGAAGTGATTGTTGACATAGCTAGTAAATACCAATATGTATATATCGATTAACCTGTCTGTCTCACTGTCTGTCTGATTATTTTTTTGTTAATTTTAATTTTTACTCATTTAACAAAAGTAAACAAATATTGTTAAGATGAAATATAAACTTTAAGGTAAAATGAAAATAATGAAAGAATTTTTGCGGAAATAAGAGGGTTGTATTGTTATTGGTTAATGAAGACTGCATTGATGAATTTTGGCAAAGTTGAACAAATCATTTGATCGTTTATCGAATAGAAATATAATTATTCAATATTTTAACATTGAAATATTTATTATTTATTTTGCATAACAGGGTCGCTATAACTGAAATTTGAACAAATTTCAAATTCTCAACCAACTGATAATTAATTGTTAATTTGAAATTTTGAAATATCAAAATGGAAAATTGCAAAATGTTATGGAGCACATTTTTCCCCCGTTTCTATTTATCCAACCAATTGGATATATCAAAATTATCATAATTGAGATATATTCGAGGATAAGTAAATTCTAAACCAATAAATTATCTACTGGTGCAAAAAAAAGCATTGTTTTTGAGTAATGCTTCTCAAATTCAATTTCATATTAAAAATGAATTAGGAATAGCAGAAAAAAAAATTGAACCAAATATTAGAAATTAATGGAAGTAAAAAAAAGGGAAAGCAACATATTGATATTGGACAGAAAATTTGATTTCGAATTGATTATTTTTTTGATAATGAATTTTTTAAAAGTATTCTTTCCAATTAAATGTAAATTTGTTGTGATGATTTTAGCAAGTTATCTGAACATTCGAACAAAAAGAAAAAAAAAGGAATAGAATTAGAAAACAAAAAACAAAATAGTAATAATAGGTCAATGGGTCTGTCTTATAAGCTTATAGGTTCGTTTGCTTACTATAATTGAATGGATAATAATTTTTCACGTTAGCTAAAATCTAACATTTGTTCCTTACCTTATCCATTTATCCCTTAAAATTCTTAATTTTAAGCAGGAAAATGAACTTTCATGGGAATTTTAGGATCCATTAAAAGTTAATTAGAAAACAGAAAGTAACACACAGGACAATGTTTACACGCATGAAACGTTAGCAATTATGTAACTTATGTATAATCAAATTAACAAATCGTTACTAAAGGAGATTTTCTTTTTTCTTCTTTTTCGAGGAAAAAAAAAAAACTAGTAACAGATAGGTTAGCTAATTAACTATCAATCGAAATACATTCCAGACCAAAACATTTCTTGTCATTTCTTACATTCCATAATTAAATTGCCTACTTTTACTTTGCACTTTTTACATGAAAGGTTGGCCAAATTTTGGCTAAAAAAAAAATGGGATCGATTTGTTCTGAAATATAATCTAATTTAAAATAGAAATTCTTTGAAATGAATTTAAATGGAAAAAATTTGTAAGAAAATTATTTATAATTTTTCGAATTGATTTTACATTTAGTAAAACATTTTTTTTTTTTACATTTTTTTTTCATTTAGTACTAAGCTATATTTATCATAATTTAGTTCTAATTGTAAAGCTATTTGGTTAATGAATGATCTTCTAAATAATCAAATATAGTATGTATCAGAAAGAAAAAAGGGTGACAATAAACAAATGGATAGAATTTTATGAGCATAGATTATATTGAAAGTGTATTGTAAATCATAAAAAGAGACAGTGTAAAAATTACAAGAAATCGAAAAGTAATGTAAAACAACGAACAAGTAAACAGAAAGGTTAAAAGTTTTTAAATTAGGCTTAAAAAAAAATGATATTTTAATAGAGAAAAATTGAGAAAAAAAAGTACTTTTATTCTAAACCTTTCTCCGATAGAATGACAAATGTTTGCATGACATTGTTGACAAAGTTGCATCCAATCTTTTGATCATATTAGTGTTCTTTTTTAGCAAAGGAAAAAAAAATGAAAATTAAAAGTGCTAGGATAAATTACAAATAATATATGTAAGCGAACCGGATTAATTGATAATATTACTGTAAATTTTGAACAGTAAATTTCATGTCACAACTATTCCTAATTTCTCGGATTGTGTGAATACTTCTTCTAATGATATAAACTAGGAACAAATGTAAAATCTGCATAATTTTATTATCTAATGCTGAATAAAGTCGTGCTAAAAAAGCATAACTTTATTAGCTGAAAAAAAGAAATGTCAAGTATTTAGTATGCATAAGCAATGTGCAAATCATTTTTTTATCTAAATTAGCTAAATTCATATGATGCAAAATGATTGAAATTGCTAAAGCTTTTTTATTTGAACTTACCTTTTCTGTCTTTTCTCAAAAAATAAAAAAAAAAGCAAGAAAAAAACGACTCAAATTAAGCTTACTAATGGAATGATATATTTAACTATTCCACGTTAATTTAATTAATTTTTATTAGCTATACTGAAAGAGAAAAAAAAAGAGCTCAAACAAAAAACTGATCAAATATACAAGTTAAAAGTATTCATATAAAATTAATTTTTATTTGCTATTACTAAGTACCTATTGAAGCTTATTTATAATAGGCTAAATAAATTTTGATGACGTAACATCGTCTAAATGATGACATCGATCAAATATTGCCTTTGTTGACCTTTCCAACCTTATCTTTTAGCTTTTTTTTTTTTAGTTTTACAAAAAGATGATAGGAAAAAATTGATTGTCCATTTTCCGGCAACAAAAATGATTTTTTCTGGTAAGATAGAAAAATGTAAATTAAAAAAAAAGAAAAAAAGGAAGGAAATGCTTGTTTTTTTTTTTCGTTGTGTAGAGAAGAAAAATAACACTCGACAGACAAACCTATTTACTGATATAATTTAAAAAATAAAAAAAAAAAAGGTAACTGTTAAAAGGTCAGTTAGCAAAAAAATACCTTTTTTATTTAATAAAAAAAAAAAGTCCGAGAGAAATGAAAAAAAAAAAACAAATCGTTGAAGCCTAATATGATATTAATTGTTAAAAAACTTTACATTTTCAAAAGAATTGTCCTAATATTTGATTAAAAATTCATTTATTCCAATTCAAATAAATTTTTGATTTAAAATTTATCGCAATAAAAAGCAAACACACAATTCTTTATCCAAAATAAGGATGTGTAAAGTATAATACGCGAAAATGTCTCTGTTATTTACTTATCCTGAAACACGCGATATAGCTACGTACGTATCCTAAAACAAGTGATAGAGCTATGTACGTAAAATACGTGATATAGCTACTTACCTATCCCAAAACAAGTGATATAGCTAAGTATGTGTTTCTTAAAAAGGTGATACATTTACGTAGATATCTTTGTTTTAGAGTTTTCAGCATTGTAAGGTAAAACGTTTTTTTTAGCACGCAGTATATCTTCGAACACGTATATGCAAATAATGCAAATTTAAATCAAATCAGTATGATTATAATTAGCATTAATCATTAGCATGATTATAATTAGCATTAATCATTAACATGATTGTAATTAGCATTAATTAGCA